AAATTGATTCTCGAAGTTCACTTGTTGAAATAGAAAAACTGGGAAAATGATGAGTTTCTAGTGTGATTAACCCCACACCGGAAAACCCAATAGATTTTGAACCACTTATAAAGGAAACCCTCTTTGAAAGAGTTAAGATTTCTAAGTGGAAAAGCTCTCTTTGCACGCATGGTGCAAATCAAATCCCAAAAACGAAGAAGAAAAACCGCGACTTGCGGACACGAATATCGTCCAAAAATCTATCTCTCAAAGATACGATTAAATTTTTGTTTCTTTCCGTAACGTTTTATTTTTTCCCAAAACTTGAACTGCTTGGACGGGCAGAACGCCTCTTCTTCCTCAGCAGAACTGCTCGGACCAGAAGACCTCTTCTTCCTTAGCAGAACTGCTCAGACCAGAAGACCTCTGCTCCGCAACAGAACTGCTCCGACCAGAAGTCATCTGGCACGTTACATCAATTAATGCATAATGTTCTTCTCCTTTAATGCACTCTTTAAATGGACAGTTTTCGACATATTAATGTCCAACGTGCTTGACATTTATGTGCAACGTTCAGGTGCATTATTAAAGCTAAGTTAACACACCACAAATCCATCCTTATGTATATCTGGCAGGTGTTTTGCAAAAACACACGTTCATACCCAGTCTACACGTAGATTTTGAGCTAAACACACCTCCATATTCCGAAAATTTTCTAAATGTTCACTTTGTTTCTGTTTGCCGGAACTTTTGTTTGTGTGCTCAAACTATCGTTCGTTAGCCACCGTATCCCGGGAAACAGCCGTTGTAACGCTCCTAGCACCTAGGGAGACAACGAATACGTTTTAAGGACATCGTGCGTAGCACAGGCTTTGGCTAATTTCTGCTCCATCTTTTTTTCTTCTTCTTTTTCTTTAGTCATTTTAATTAATTAATTTTTCTACGTTTTTTGAGACACACGCTACAAATCGATCAGATCATGATTTTCTGACTGGCCCGATATTTATCAAGGTCCAGGGGCGGAGATAGACTTGAGTGCAAGGGGGCCGGAATATAATACAAGTATACAACTATAACCTAGGGTGGACAAAAGGTACCGGAAAATATGTTGTCGATGTCGAATTTTCAGTCATAAAGTATACTTTTTAGTGGAAAAGTTCTAAAATTGCATAGTTATATTAGTTACAAGACCAAAATTAAAAGAGAGTAATTTTTCTATAAATATAATGGTAACGATCATAGCCGTAAGTTAGGAGATTAAAAATGCAAATCTTTCTATAAAATATAAATATATTCTACCGATATGAAATGATACACCAATATTAATATTCATGTATAATATTCAAATTAGAAATTATTGCAGGTTAATTAAAACTTAGTTTGAATTTTTCGCATGATTTATATATTTTTTAATAATTCCATATTAATTAATAAATTTCACTAGATGTTTGGCTTTTATATAAAGTAATTATTACTTACTACTCCGTATAATATTAATTGATAACAAATAATATTAGTATTATTTGGTAACTAATCTTTCGCAATATTTTTTTGGGGGGACCCAAAAAATATTATAGTAATACTACCTCCGTCCCATTTATATTGTCTCTTTACGGTTTACGATGTTTGACTGACGATAAAGCAAACAGATCCCTGTCCGCACTCAAATTATTTTTAGGAAATAAAATTACATATTCAGAAACTACATTTAAAGCTTTACAAAGTCGCAAAAATCTGAATCAAATTTGATAAAATTTTGATATATAAAATAAGAAATTAAGAGTGATTTGTGTGGACCAAGTAAATAGGAACTGTGACAATATAAATGGGACGGAGGGAGTAGTACTTAGGAATAAATACATTAAAATAAGGGTGGGGGGTGGGGGCATGGTCCCCTTAGCTTAACAAGTAGCTCCGCCCTTGTCAAGGCCAGGTCAACTTTCCATTCTTGTCCCATCTTAGACTCTTCATCATGCTTTGGAATCTACGTCTTATCCAATGACCTACCTTGTGTGGGATGACTTTCGGAAAATAAAGAAAATTAATTAAAATAAATTATTTAATTGAAATGACGAAAGAAAAAACAGAAATAAGATGGAGCAGAAACTAGTCAAATCTCGTGGTACGCACGATGTCCTTAAAACGTATTTGTTGCCTCCCACGGTACTAGGAGCGTTGCAACAATCGTTTCCCAGGATACAATGACTACGAACTATTGTTTGAGCACACAAACAAAAGTTCCAGCGAACGAGAACAAGTATAAACACTCAAGAAAATTTTAAGAGAACCGAAGGTGTTATTAACTAAAGGAATACATGCAGATTGTGTATGATTGCATGTGTTGTTGGCTCATAGGTTGTTGCAAAGCACCTGCCGGCTATTTATAGGAGAATTTGTTGTGTATTAATGGTGAATTAATGGACCTGAACGTTGGCACCAATGACCAGTCCATTGAGCATTGAATCGTCCATGAACTGTCCATTTAACGCTGCACTGAAAGAGACGAACGTTGGACATTAACTGCTGTAACGGTCACAGCGCGACCAGAAGACCAAAACGTATTTTGGTTCCGTAGCGGACAGAAGACCATACATCTTCTAGTTTTGGACAGAAGACCAGAACGTCTTCTGGTTCTGGAGCGATCAGAACAACACACAAATTAAATTGTATCTTTGAAAGATAGATTTTTGGACGACATTCGTGTCCGCAGGTCACCCGCGCATGCAAATCACAATTTTTCTTCTCCGATTTCAGGATTTGATTTGCACCCCCTGCGCACAAAGAGAGACTTTCCACTTAAGAATCTTAACTTCTTAGAATAGGCTTCCCTTTATAAGGGGTTCAAATTCCCTTGGGTTTTCCGGTGTGAGAAAAAATCACACTAGAAACCCATCTTTTTCCCAGGTTTTTATTTCAACGAGTGAACTTCGAGAATCAATTTCTCATTCACCTGTTATCCGTTTTGAGTGCACCATATATCAAATTGTAGCCCTTAGCAAGGATAATCCGAAATCACTCAAAATATTGCCCCAAAATTACCATTTAATGCAATTTTTCAACACATTTTTCCAACACCGTTAGTGATACCACCTTTTAAGAATGTACATTATCTCACTACACATGTGACTTAACATGGGCGTGGTACCTCACACCTAATAAGATAAGTTCTTGATAACATAAGGTGTAATCCAAATTATTTTTGAACTGATAATATACTGCTACGTACATTAGTACATACATCTCTCTATAACTCATTTCTTACTAAATTTTGCTCGAAGCTTCATTTGATACCTCGTCGAGGTTTGTGAGTATTGTCCTACTTTGAATAAACGGTAAGCATTCACTAAACACACCTTGCCCAATTAGGTGAGAGGACACATCTTCACAGGATCAACTTCTACTTGGTGAATCAATTTATTTGTAGTATTATACGAAGTATGTAGTTTAGACTTTAGATAGGAGACTGAAATCTATACTATAAAACGTGAGGTAGGTATAATTGTAGTATTAAGAGTGTAAAATCATCTCCAAAAATTTTGTTTCAACATTTTGTGGGGACATAATGTAAAACGAATGCATGGTTACATGAGATTAAATGCTACCAACATTTGTGGGCATGCGTCAAAATAATTTAAATAGGAGATTATAATTTTTTTGAAAAGAACCCATAAGGTAGAAGACAAATGGCATCCAAGTGTGCACAGTGGGGGACAGATTCAGTTTAAATAATAAGGATCCAGCTGCTTTCCTCACCTCTTGTGACCGGATCGGATCTTCTCAACCATATTGGATAGTATATGAATATATCCACACACGAAGTAGCTTTTATTAGCAGCTTTAATTTATTTCCAATTTTATTTATTACTTCAACACTTTTAGCCCATGCTATGCTATCTAATTTGTCGGTCCATGCTTCACGTGCGTGCGACCTGCCCATAATATGGTCTCCCTTCCCTTTCCCTGACATCGAGCTGTTTGGATCTGATTCATAAAATTGTTTATGTTCCTTTAGAGAGCAGAAACAAAAGTTAGAGTGTTTGAGTGAAAGTACAGAAGTACTTCTGATGCTCTAATTTACTTCTAGAATCAGTTTTTTAGAAACTAAGGAGGATCAGCTTCTGAAAACTGATTCTGATTCTGTTTCTGTTTCAAAAAAATGCAGAAGCAGAACCGGTTCCAAACACCCCTTATACACTCTTATAATCCTTGAATATATGAGTTACTTTTCATACTTTTCATCTGTCTTCAAAGGATATGAATACACATGCTACCATACTGACATACTCCTCTCACCCATGAACTCGATACTTCCATTATGATTCTCTTCTTTTTTAGTTGTTGAGCTGCTCCGTGAAAATAAGTGTTAACATTTTCATTATTGCTTTTTGCACTGTTTTTTACAATGACATTGTATGATTGATGGATATACTAGTTTAAAAAAGAATAAATGCATATAAGTGAAACGTTATGTTTTTTTTTTTTTTTTAAATTTCTCTTAGGAAGCTTGAGACATTCTTTCTTTAAGCACAATATCAAATTGAGAACCCAATACAAAAAAATAAAATGTGCAAGTGTAACTGCGAAAATAAAAAGTAACAAGGATGTTCTATGCTAGTACCAAGTACCATTGTAGAAATCTCATTTCCAACTATTTGATTTGATTGTTGTGGGTGTAATTGTTAATTTTTATTTTCTCAATAACACGTTTAATATTTCATTTGTTAATAAAAGCTAAAACAAATACTTCAAACATTAAGGATGACACAAAAAATTTCTAAGTCACCCCAAACTGTTACTTAACAGTAGTTTGAATCTTCATTCTCCTATTACATTATAATGAACCAAGCATAAGATATACTACGTATATTCATCCCTCAATTACATTATTTGACACCTAGTACATAATAAACACCTAATAAGTATCTCTCTTTCAATAGACTTTACTCTTACCGTTTGTGTTGGTTGATTAATGATAAGGTTACTTTAGAATTACTATTTAAATATGAATTTAAAAAGATGATGAGAACTCGATACTCAAAGAAAGAGAACAAAAAGGAATTGTGTCGACTATAGATGCTTAGCAGTAATTACTAAACAAGCAAAGTTTATTGGGAATATATATATAGAGTTTACAATAGCTATATAGAAGTTAGAATATACAGCCAAAGCTCAATCTTATGGACAAACTTCTAATGGCGGAACTTTCCGAGTAAGCCCCCAAGAAAGAAGCCAGCCTTAGCCCAGCCAGCACTAGTCTGATCAGGAACCTTTACAGACGTCGGGACTTTCTTCACGTTAAGCATCATCCTCTGCCCAAATTCTTTGCGAAGGCGTTCAACAATAACCATCATGTCTACTGGACTATTTCCATCGTATGAATCTCTAACATAGAAGACTTCAACACCTTGTTCCCCAACTGTTGAGACACCTGCTCTAGTGACCACGAGCCCATTTTCTCTGAGAACTCTTGTGACGTCAGAAAGTAGTCCTACTCGGTCCTTTGCACTTAGTTCCAGCCTCAAGCCCTGTTTGACATTCCAAAGGAGAAGGAAGGAATATATTATGATGGCAAATGTTGTTTGTTGCATATAATTACAGCTACTCTCTCACCTCACTTACTCTACGTTGAATGGCAGCTTCAAGACACTTGATAATCGTCTCCTTTTCCCTGTCCGTCACCAAACTGCATCCGTCCGTGTGGCGTATATAGTATTCCTACCACCCCAGAATCGAGCCTTAAGTCCAAAATCATTACACTCAATGACATCAGAAGTTTGAGGAATGGTCTTAAACTGAGTTTCCAGTTAGTTGTGTGTGTGTCTTGAGGAAGGACAGTACTACTACAATAGACCACAGTTTGAAAGGAAGTGTAGTCAGAACTAAATTTACTAACATCACACTTACTTCTGGAAACATTTTAACTGTAAGTATATAAAAAATGAATTAAAATTTGCATTGCACATTTGATTGAAACTGAATTAACAGTTTTCCTCAAATCTCAACTTTATGTGTAACGACAAAATACTTGTTTATTACCCACCGTAATTCTTCACACCAAGCAATTCAAAATTTGTATATTTGTGCAAGTAAATATTAGTGTTCTCCTAATCTCTCATTCACTATTCTGGGGTCATCTTAGCTCTCTTTTAGTATTCAAATTTAGTTCTTCAGGATTCAATAGAACTGTCATGGTTGTTACTGAATATGTAAACGTTAATCACTAATACTAATATAAATATTATGCAGGGTGATTTAACTTTATCATTAGTCAAGCCCCGAAATCTGAAATAGGAACTAATGTGGAACGACGCGAGTAATAGTAATTATAAGTAATGATGTAACTATTTTCAAATACTACTATACCTGTGATGCGTAAAGACCGTCAGATGAGATAGCCGCATGGAAAACAACATAGTTCATGTCTGTTAGGGTGCACACTATGTCAAACATAAGCTTTGACCTGTCTTTGCACCTAACATTGACTACAGAGTAATCCTTCTCCACACAATGATCAATCATGATGTTTGGTTTAGATGAAGGAGAATCTGGAGTCACATCGTCAACGCAAGTGCAGGTTTCATAGTCCCGGTCAGCAAAGAACATCTGATGCAGCCTCCGATCAACATGAGTTTTACCCATGGAAACACATGAATGAGCTGCATTTGTATCATCCGCCTCACATGGCCCCCGGAAAATGTTTCTGAGCTTCTCCTCGATGACACACAATCTCGATGGATCATCCATGGCTTTGTTGTCATTCACATAAAGAACACATGCCACGCGCTGGTTATGTGTCCAGGCCTCAGCTGCAACCACATTGAAGCGGAGATTGGCAAGGACAGCTGATATTTCTGATAAAAGACCTGGACGGTCCCTTCCTGTAAGCTCAATTGCAGTGTAATCTCCCACCAGAGAGTTCACTCCCGCATTTTTCCCTGGCCAAGTCCTTAAGACATCTGATGTGTAACCCATTGGCCCAAGAGCCTGCTAAAGTGAACATCTAGATTTGTTTTATGAACTTGACTTTCATACTGGAGCCATAGGGAGGAAACAAGTAGCATACCTTTTCAATACAGCAAATAGTGTTTCCATCTGTAACTTTATTGCCATGTTGGTCGGTGACATGAAAAACTGTTGATAGAACAACTCAGATCTGTAAATGTCTAATTGTTTTTAGTCTGTGTGTCACATGCGTGTTGCATAGGTATATATAACGAAAGTGAAGGATGAGAATATCGAGATAAAAATAAACGTTGCCTGTAAAGAGCTTCTAGTTTGATACTATCATACTAGTGATAATGGCATTATGCATGAATAAAAACCTCAAAATTATTTAAGGAATCTAAAACACGGCGATGATAACAAGTCAACAAAAACAATATTGAAAAATCTGCAATAAAAAGACATTAAGAAGGAATATATCAGATATAGGAGCTAATCAAGTTAATTGATTATTGATTTGGGTATGGCAAATGATGAAGGGCAGATGGATTAATTTGTATGTAGTACTAATTAAGAATTTCCTTACTTATAAATTAGATCTCCTCCTCAGAAAAAAGAAATTAAGTGTTGAGAATAAAGTAATCGGCATCCTTTTGCCAGGGTAAGTACTATTCTTGCTGGAGAGTCATATCGGGCCAAATTGATTGCCCACCTCCTGAATAAAAGGAGATTCATGGCATGATGTCCCCGCATTTGGTCATTATCCCCAGTTGTAAGGTTGTAAAGTATAAGTGCAAGCTCGTATTTGAAAAAGTGGTAAACAGAATTCATCTCTCCATTAGTTCTCTATAACATAAAGCTAATACAGAGTAAAAGTTTCAAACACGTCCAAATCAGAGCTTACAATGGGATGTGATTACATTAAAAAAAAAGGGAGAGTACTATAAGAATAGGCAGACTGACCATCCATGAACCACCTGCCATCAGAAGATATGTAAGCTTTGATGATAATGAGATCCAAATCTGACAAGACTTGCACAACATCTAGAAGTATTCCTGGTTTGTTGACACTGTCAACCTAGGGGTTGCAATGAAAAAGTCAAATGGTCATGCTTGAAAGCTATGGAAAGAATAATATCATTATAAAGCATGTGCTGGAACGTTATATGTATACATGTTTGTGCGGACATATCAATGCATAAACAATTCTCATTAGAGCTAGCTTTTCTGGTCCGTCCCACAATATTAAAAAAAGAAATCACAAAGAGGATAACTGCTAAAAGAAGAAACAAAAAATTGAAAAAACTGAATCTCATATATAAGAATGACCTTAAATGCCCCAAAACTGAACTTAGAGATTCTAGTACCACACATTTTTCATAAAACTTTAGCATATTCATGTTTGGGGTTGGATTTTCTTTTACTAACTCGACGATAGAAGAAAATGAAGCATATGTGAGCAGCAGAGCCATTTTAATTCTGTTAGGATAGTTTGTCTGAATTATATGATTAATCGACTGCTCAAGATTCCAGCATACCAATGTGGCAATGACCAATCACATCTATATGATAAATAGCAAAGGCACAAAGCAATTGAACTTGTCAGGGGGGGGGGGGATAAATTTAGGATTCAAGTAAGCTCCTTGTACTTATAATATACACCTAAAATGGAGAATAGGATTACACATATCAACTAATAATCTTATTATGAGGTAATTAATTCATGTTTGATAAGCTTCTCATCCCTAAACACATCAGATTATCTTATACAACTTAAATAACACAAATTCTAGCAGAATGACGGATACTGGATTATGCACTTCAAGCACGCATTCCAAGACATTTTTCTGGTGATGCTATTCTCACAACATGTTAGGTTTTCAAGACGTGGTTGCAAGATTTACAATTGAAGCAAAGTTCGAATGTGAGATCTAGTGCCGAAGAAAAATCCATGGCCCTGACCACATGTGAACTAATTTAGTAGAAGCACTTACTTCAGGATTCTCAGCATGGTAACATGACACAAATGACACTTATATGTGATCACCTAAGTGAAATGCACACTACCTTATATCATGACATGACTAAACATATAGAAGTAGATCATGTCTTGACTCTGAACATAGTTTTAAGATTGGCTAATTCTGCTTATCAATGTAACTTCTTAGAGGTCCAAGAATTGGGTATATTTTTAATACAAGATAAGTATATATGACGTTATAAAATCGAGCTAGAGGGGAAATCTTGAACAAATTTTGAACAGAATGATGTATATCATCATCCTAGCCCTGAGAGCAATGGGCTTAGGCACACCTTGGACCTTTTGTGTATCCTAGCTAGGACTATAAATTCGGACCTTTTGTACAGACATTAATATACTCTGTATGAGTACAATATTCTTCCCTCTCATATTCTAATAAGGAGCTATTATAAGTGTAACTTTGAATATAAGCTTGGAAAATTACCTTCACTACGGTACAATCCTCGCAGCTAATATTGTCCACAGACACCCTATTGGATTTACCATTCAATAATTAAAAACATGGAGACAAAAAATGATTATCACAAAAATATGGGGTTATACTAATGGGCACATATGATATAAATAATAAAAATATAAACTAAACAGACAAAAAACAATTTTTAATTTTAGCATTGCCAATAATACCTAAGAAAATAGCCACGAAGAGGCAGTGAAAAGAAAACAAAAGATATATTACTAACTGCAGTAAGTTACTAAGGTGTAGAGTAGAACCTTGGAGGATTTATTCTGATGCTTAGTGTCTCATATTCAGGATCAAAGTAGGGCAGACAGTTCCTTTCCATATAAGACTGCTCCAGTAAGGCAGTTACTTCGCCCCTTCCCTGCCCAAAACTATGAGTGAATGTTACTATGTAATTAGTTCCCATAATAGCTGATGTCAATAAGTAATCACATATTCATTAACATTATTAGAAACATTAATGCCACTCCTCCAGCCAAAGTATGTAAGTGATAAACATTGTACAGATGTAACATTAAAGGAATTACACATAATAGGAGTCAAACATGTACCAAATCCACAAGTTGGACTAACTATGTTTTATTCCCAATAGAACTTATTCAGTCCGAATATAAGAATAAAAATAATTATTTGGAAGTGAATGAGTATATTTTGGGAATATAGTAATGGTAGTTCTGTTTGAGGAAATGTATTACGTTATAAATTTATAATCCTATGTAGGGAATTTTCTGAAGTGTTACACTTGGAGCAGCTAAGGAGTAAGAACCTCTAAATAAAGTGTTACACTTGATGCAATAATACCTACTCTTTAATGGGTGGAAGATACCTATATTCCCAGAAACTAGAAACTACTGGTTCGATGCGACGATGCCTCATTCTAGTTGTTTTTAAAGAGTAGAGTACATTTTTATACCTAAAAACTTTGGAACATTGGTATTGCAAAGATGCGTAATGGCGATGGAAATGGCATAAAGAATTGATTGTCCCCGGACATTCAACTATAACATCTAAATCGCAGTTCGATCCTTGGCCACAAATATTGGCAGCTCAAGTTGGACAATGATTCAATAAAGTTAGTAGGGAAATTGTTCAAATAATCTTTATCTCTACATGCATAGAAGCCTAACGTTTTCTAAGGGGCAAAAATACCCCTAGCATTTCCGTCAAGTGACATATTGGCCCTTAGGCGATCTACAGTGCATGTCTTCATGAGTAGAAAACTACTCCGTATGTTGCACACTTGCACAAAACGGGGGAATCATGGGGAAACGTGAAAAGTGAAACACCGTCTTTTAATAGAAAAACATTTGTTCACAGAGTTTCCGAGTTTCCGTAAAGGAACTGGTCTCTGTATATTTTATAACTTTATTTGGTTTGGTATGGGACCGTTTTTAGCTACTCACAATTTCCATACAGACCAGACATTTAACACAGACCAAACCAAACCATCAAATTTCACTCCAAGTAAAAACAGCCTAAAAATAATACTCCATACTATGTACTGGAGTATATTTTACTCCTCCCTTTTATATAGTCCTTGTACAAATTAATTGGTAGAATAGAATTTTCACATAATTTAAGATGATGTTATAGATGTACAGTACATTTTATAAAAAAAAATGAGGCTTTTGACACTATAAGAGTATAATAATACTCCCTCCGTCCCGCTAAGATTGTCTGTATCTTCTTTTTTCGGTCCATCCCACTAAGATTGTCTCATATCAAATTGGGTAAAATTTATAAGGTTCTAAGTCATTCTAACTTTATTCTTACTTTATCAATTCAATATAATCACATATAAACCCGTTTTTCTTAATAATCATGACACATTCTCATGTTCCGATGTTAATGAGACGGAGGTAGTATTTCACTATAAGTGATTTTTACATATTTGTTTAAGAGTGTGCTGCTTGCTTTTAAGAATAAAGTTTTATGACTTTTACCCATAGTATTATTGGTAAGAACAAATGTTACGCATTATCTTATTATTTCTTCTTCGTCCAATAACAAAGTAAGAGTGTAGCTGGATTGTTAAACAAAGAATGCAAAAGATGGAAACAATGTGTCTTAATTAAACGAAAAAACAAGTAGAAAATGCAGTTTTAAGCTATGAATTAGTCCTTTGTCAAACCGAACTGCTAGCTGTCATATTAATCTAAAACACAATTATACATTCCAATCAATACATGGAAGATGGAAAAGAACTGGCTTGGGAAGAACACTCACTGGAAGCAGCAGCAGCAGGTGAGACGAAATAATAAGGACTTAATTAGAGGTTGCCTGCCTGCCTTTCTCTGTTCTGCCGCCTCAATCATATATGCTAACAAAGAGAATATAATCTTTGGACGGATACCATTGGGGCATAATCAGCAGTTAGACATTAAAATGAGGAATAATTTTTTACAAATAGATAAATGTTGCCAAGTGGGTAAAAGAAGAGTGTATCATGTTAGACGTGAGGACGAATAGTATAACATAATCACATCATATCATATGGTATAAATATTTGAAATTAAGATTTGAATTTATTGTTGTTGTTTCAGATATGTAGTCTCTCTTTAAGAGTGTGTGTTTGAATCGGGGCGGTAGATGAGGGCGTGCAAGAAGTGCTATCGCACAAGGCCTCTCGATTCAAAAGGCCCAAAATTTTAAATATAGTCTACATAATATACAAAATCTTTTTTTATTTGACTAAAGATTCCTATTTTAGTATTTTGGTTTTAAATACAAACATTAAATACTAATATGTATATGTAATTAAAATGCAATTGTTAATTATAAATGATCAACTTTTTTATTACATAAGACCTGGATAAGGCTTATTTATAGTAATTAGCACAAATTCCTCGTACAGTTTGGACGAGCTTGGTTTTAAGGGACGGTGGGAGCAGTCTTTTTGAGTAATATCCTACTCTATATTTTTTAGTTCATGATTTTAATTCATTTCTTTTCGTTTTTAGTTCTTTTTTTATACCATTTTTGGTTGTTCAGGTTCGGAATATGATTATATCTCAATGTCACATTTGAGTGTAGTTTTTTTGGGTTATTTTTTAAAGGCTGCCTTTTATATTATACTACTTATTTATTTAATATAAGGCCTATTTTACGTGATTTGCACCGGGCCTCCTAATCTATTGAGCCGGCCCTGGTTTGAATTAGGAGTTTGGAAAGGGGATGGGAAGATTTTGAAGGTTAGGAGAATGCAAGAGAAAGTAAAGAAAATCACTGTTCTTGTTAGGGAGTTAGATAAATTTGAAAAAAAGAAAGATTATGAATCAATTATAAATTTATAATCATAGTTGTGAGAATAATTGAATTTTAAGTCTTTTTTGATAAGTGAGCCCTAGACAAGCTGATCCCAAGGAAACTTTGTCTTCTAGCATTTTCATCTTCAATCATCAAAGAGTTAATTAACAAATCAAAGATTTTTCTATACTTCCGCTTTTTTTTTTAATTTTTTATTTTCGAAGGTTTTGATCCGATCGACTTCTTCTTTGATCGAGAGTTGTCCGCTTCAGGTGAGTGTGAGATATGTTCTTCTCCTAGCGATGTCTAGAGGTTGTGTGTTTGTGAATGGTGTAATCGATCTGGTGAATTTTCGTAATTTATGGTTGGCAAAACTTTTTCAGCCTTATTGTCATGAGGCCTTCACTTGAACCACCGCCTTTTTTGTGATTGGTCAAACTGAGGATTCAGACAATTTTTGCTCGGTAGAATTTTATTTGTTGGTTGCTCGTCGATTAATTCTCCCTTTGTAGTGGCTGGTGAATTGAAACCGGATCTTAGATTTGTAATTTTTTATTTTCATTTGGAGTAACGAGTGCACCAAGACAATTAGACTATACTACACGTCTACACTATTGCGGGATTAATGATCTGAAAAGATTCATAAAATCTTTTTTGTTCTAAGACTCATTTCATTGTAGTCTTAGACTATCCATTCAATTGTTCTTTGCTATAATATCATTTAATGAATAAATTAGTTTGAATTTTAAAAAAAATTGAATGATAATTAAAGTCGATTTAGAGGTGTAACGTATTTAAATGGTTGAAGTTGTATTCATTTTGGATTGGACTAAAATTATCATTTAAGTAAGAGTAAAATGCATAAATATATTGGTCCTTGAGGGCTTGAACTATTATCACCATATCAATTTTGGTTATCGAACTATTAAATCTACTACGTATCATTTTATTCCTTAATCTATTTACGCTATACTAATCTAATTTTTAAAATTTTAGAGCAATACAATTATTCTCAACTTATATTATGTGCAAATGTATTTTCCAAACATGTGCTCGTAAATTAAAAAAATAACAACTAATTTATGTGTTGCCTCAAGAGTCAAGAAAATTAACTTCTTGTCCAATTAAATATCAAAATATATATGTCATGCATGCTTTGTTAATTAAGAATATGAGGTCGTAATAAAATATTGATTCATCACTTTTAGAGAAGGCGAAAGCTGAGAATCTTAGCATTCTTTTTAAAAAAATCAAAGCCATCAATTCAACTTTGCATATTAACAAGAACCAATGGAAATGGAATCATATCCCGAGAAGCTTGAATGCTGTTTTGTGGAATTGAATTGAAGTATCATGAATCAGGTAGGATTGCATGAACTTACGTATAGCAGCTCGCTTCTTCTTATGTACGTACTCGCACTTTCACAGATCACAAAGTGGGCATATTTATTATGCTTTTAGTCACAACTTGTTCAAAGTGACATTTGCATCACTCCATTCACTATTATTCTCACCTGACAAAACTATATTCATTGTGTAATATGGGTTGATTTTTCTTATTAAGAGTGGCGAGTGGCGGATCCAGAGATGCATGGGAGCGGACAATGAACTTATATTACTTTAAAATAACAATTACAAATGTAATAAAAACGCTAAAAAGTACCACGTAAGTCATTAGCATAAATTATACGGTGCAGTTAATTACATACTTCGTATTAAATAGTTTATTACTTCACTTTCGATAAATCAAGCCTATGAGTTTTCATATTTTAAAAAAATGTTGCATAATAGTTTCATTATCAATGCTTCTAAAAATATCACTCTCGATGTAGCACACTAAGCAATCCATAAAAAAACATATTTTATCAATTTGCGAAGTCTTGATAATATTCATTGCGGAGAAGACTCTTTTAACGGTAGGCCACTACAAAAAAAACACGGGATTGACACGGATTACCGATTTTTCGTGCAAAGTAGCTCGTGCCAAAGTTTTTTGACACGAATTTGGCATAATCCCTACCAAAATCCCTGCCAATCCCGTGTTTTTTTTGTAGTGGGTTGCTGTTGCAGTTGGTAACACTAAAACCAACTCAATCAGATCGACGATATACCAAGTGAAACAATTTGAATTTTAAATAAACCATCTTTCTACAAATTTCACTCATAGTTTATGTGGCGAAAATAGTTCATATGTTCTCATTTTATATATCCACAACTGGAGTTGAACTTTCAGCTCCCATCGATCAACATATGAAAATTAAAATAGCATGAATATAACTCTATGAGATTCAATAGCTTTGACTCGCAGAAATAAGAGAACTTATCTTTAGGATCAACACATATTAAAGTGAGTATTTTTTTTTCTACCACATATATTAAAGTGAGTATTACATGTTTGACTCGCTAAAGCGATTCTTCATCTCGAGATTGATCTGATCAATAACATACAATGAAAAATAATACCCTCTCCGCCTATTTTACCTATCTTACTTTCCTTTTTGGGTTGTCTCACAATAACTGTCGCATTTCTTTTTTTGGAAAGACATGCATGTGGTCTACAACATTTTAATTTATGAAACTCAAATCTGAACCATAAACTTTACTTTTTCATTCACTTTATTAATAATTGTGTCAAAGCAAAGTAAGACACATAAAATGTGACAAGACGTAGTACGGTAGTAACTTTTTGTCCGGATTGGGAGCACATACTGATCTTTACCATAAGTACTAATGGTGAAATTTCGGGCCAGAAGCAGAGACACTTGCCCTCTTAGATCCTCCACTAGAGATATAAATTAGATTCTAGCTCGTGATCTTAATAATGGAAAGAACACTGCATGTACACTGGTGGAAAAACGCCAAATAGAGGCACTTTTTTTGGGGCACGCGCGGCGCTTTGAAGCTCCTCCAGCAAATGTGACGCAAATCCACAATGGAGGCGCTTTTTAGGCAGAAAGCGCCTCTAATCTTTATTTTTTATTTAATTTAATTCGATTATATGTGTTGCTTCTGACTGAAAAAGTGTCGCACGCGCGTTTTTTGTGGGCGATGGGCAGGGTAGGTTTAGCTGGATTATTTTGGAGGCGCTTTTTGTTCTACAAGCGCCGCACGCTTATTTAATTTCCGTCCGGCCTATCTATTTTTATTCGAGGCGCTTTGAGCCAGAAGTGCCGCACGCGCGGTTCATTTAAAAAAAAAGCGTAAACGAATTGAAGGCGCTTTTGAGTTAGAAGCGTCGCATGGCTCATTAGTTTTTTAAATATAAATATAATTCCGGAATATTGTAGAGGCATTTTATCATAAGAAGCGCCACACGATTCTGTAAAAAATATTAAAAAATATAATTTCGACTAATAGAGGTGCTTTAACTTAAAAGCGCCTCTAACGAAGCGCCTTTGTTTGACGTTTTTCCACTAGTGGTATATTTGTGTATATATAAGTAATTACGTACTTGCCTGTCCTATTTAATAATTGATGGCTATAATTTAGGAGATAAATCATAAATATCAATTCTACTAATTAGGATGCTTTCACTTGGATGGTTTATAGTCCCACATCAGACTAGATCAAATTCTATTTTATGACATATGAGCTGCTATTTCAATAAAAGTGCTTACAAGATCATCCCATGAAACCATCAAACCCTTCAATTAAAACCTTGCACTATAAAAAATATTTCAATTACAAAATATAACTCAAATGTCTCAATTGGATAAATAATAAGTATAAAAACATGACAAAAATGAAAGACAAATTCTAACTTATGAGCTGAGGAATCAATTGGTGAGAGGAAGTATATACATAAAGTCACTTATGTGTTACATAAAACCATCATCTTATCCACGCTTAGCACGTCATTCATAAAAGGTGTTACCTAGTGTCATCCCTGAGGACTGGTACAGGGCCCCCCTCAGGGATGGGGTACAGTATTACCTCCTCCTCCCCCTCCGCCTCCGCCTCCGCCTCTGCCTCCTCCGATCCTCCTCCTCCTCCCTCCCCCCCTCCCCCTTCCCCTCCGCCTCCTCCTCCTCCTCCACCTCCCCCCCCCCCCCCCCCTCCTCCTTCATAACAGGTCATTCATAAAAGGTGTTACCTAGTGTCATCCTTGAGGACCGGTACAAGGCCCCCCTTAGGGATGGGGTACAGTATTACCTCCTCTTCCCCCTCCGCCTCCGCCTCCGCCGCCTCCTCCTTCATAACAGGTGCTACTAAGTGATC